GCAGTAAGCAGGAAGTGGAAGGGAGGAGAGTGGCTGGAATTTTACAGGAAATACGTCATTAATGACCGTGGTATATAGGCTGTTTAAGTGATAAATTTGGACATATTGAGCCTGCAGTCTAATCTTGTCACCATTTAGTATCAGCTCGGTTAAATGGTTTAAAGCAGCCTTTTTTTGGTCTACATGAAGTGCTGAATGGCACTRAGGTGCAAAAATACAACAATAAACCCCAAAAAGAGACAACGCAAAACAAAGAAATTTAAAAAATCCTGACATGAAAAACAACTTTATTTCAGAAAACTTTAGTAAAAATCATGTGTGTGAACATTTGAAACTAAGAAAACATTATAGAGTCAAAAAAACATTATTTTAAGCAGTAATGCAGTCAGAGAGAGCCACCTGCAGGAGTTAGAAATGTGAAAATCAAATGAGAAGTTGGTCTAATGGCAGCAGATTGAACAATCTCAGGTAGTTTTCTCTTGACTTTGTCTCTCTTCTCTTCTTCTTTACCATCTCTCACTATTGATCTTCTTTATTCTTCTTCTCTATTAACCTTTCTCCTCGACCCGCTCTTCTCCCCACTCCACTTCTTATCTTTTATTCTCGTCTCCACCTCTGCGTCCTCTCCCTTCATTTAATCAGTCTTCTTTAATCACTTTAACCTTCTTCTCTCTCTCGCTCTCACTCGTTCCTGGCCTTCTCTCCTTGATGTTGTCACATTAGATCTCTTTCAGTGTGTTCACACAAACAGCACAGATGCTGAATCAAACAGAAAACCAGGTATGAGCCCCAGCAGGTCTGTCCAGGTTCTTCTCCCTGATCTTCCTCCATCTAACCACTGAAATGTTTCTGTTCTTCATGACCAAACCTCTGCAGCTCATTCAGGCTGGTGCTGCTCATGTCCAACAATCATTACATCAAACTAGAGATTCTTCAACCAAAGTCTGGACTTTGACTGGACCGGTCCAAGACACTGAAACTCTTCCTTTTTCTGCTTCTTCTGCCTTTGCAGAGTTCCTGCTCAGAGCAGAGCTCCTGTGCTTTGTTTTGGTTCAGCTCAAGGCCTTATGCTGAGGCCTGTGCTGCAGTTGCTGTATATACCTGATTGGCGTAAGAAGATTAAGAATAAAGTTTTGAGAAGAAATCCAGTTGATTCCTGTTTATTTGGACATACCATTTTGAACAACACATTTTTTCCAACAACATGTTTGTCTTGTCTTTGTGTTTAAGCAATGACTTTTCCCTGTTTACTGTTCTATGGATCCCATCTCTGCGCAACTTATAGTGGTTTTATGGAAAAATACTCCATGGTTCCAGAGATGGGGACTCGTGACTCGGACTTGGACTTGAGTCGCACTTAAGTCATTACTATTAGAGACTTAGACTTGACTTGGACTTGGACCCTAAARACTTAAGGGCTCGACACACAGGAGGCGACGTCGCTCTCTCTCCATTCATTTCCTATGGAGCCTGTGCGGTGAGGCGACAATCTCTTGCCCTCCTCCTGCCAAGCGACCGGCGAAAATAGTGCATGTGAAATTTCACGCTCGTACACGTAGACGTGCACACGCGAGCTTGCGACGCGACATATGAAAGTTGAAAAATGTTCAACTTTTGTCGCTGTCGCTTAGTGTACAACCAATTAGCGAGGGTTTCATTGGCTGACCAATGAGAGGAGAGTATGCTACACACTGCAGCTAGCTAACACTTTCACCAAGTGATTACTAAAAAGCTTTGTGGGAATTTATTGGCACCAGGGTGAAGTTTATGKTAAGTTTTTCCTCATAAAACTDKATCTTGATGTGTTTGTTTTTCAATATCATTAGCATCGCAAGATTTGTTTAGTTTACACGTCCGTAATGCACACCCGCCTTCAAAGTCAAGAACCAATCAAATTTCGTGAAGACAAGTGATCTGAGAGCGCGATTCGCAACGCTGCGATCACTGTCACGTCCCGTGTGTCGGGTTTCACCCTGGCTGYGATGACAGCCGTTAATCGCTGTAGTTTGTCGCTCCCCGTGTGTCGAGCCCTTTAGACGTGACTTGGACTTGTGGTTTGCGACTCGCGAACAATGCAAGTCTTTTTACTGCCCAGCTCATGATTCTCACTCCCTCAGTACACATCCATGCTCCGCTCCTTTGAGAACAAATACATCAAGTTTCAAGAGTAAAGACATTTACTCCTGCTCTCAAATTGAAAATATACACTCTTGATTAAAGTCAGAATAATTCTTCCAAACACTCCACTCCCCCTCACCTGAGAGTGGGAGGGGCCAGCACCATCCAGTGTTAATGACATGTACCCTGTGTGACAAACAGAGCTTCAGCATGGCAGGTGCGTTGCAGTAGCTCCGCTGCCATTCATTATAAGMTTTTTTCTGGTATTTWATTGTAAAATCAGCAGCAGACTTGTTGCATTTGTTCTTTGTCAATGGCAAGATATAATTACAGTATAATTACAGTATAATTACAGTAAGCTTTTGTAAGACTTCAAGTGCAAAATACAGTTAGCAAAACTCTAAATGCTTGATTTTTATTTCAACCTTAAACTTATCTGTATTTTTAAAACAGTTTTATGTTTTAATAGTATTGTTTTAATATTTTTATTAAAATATAGTATTATAGGATATAATCTAGTATAGTTAGAAAACCTTTGATCAAACTGCTAGTTAAGTAATACATGCAACAAGACTTGGAAATGAGGTCAAGAGACTTGAGACTTGACTTGGACTTGGAGCCAAAGACTTGAGACTTGACTTGGACTTGCAAAAAAAAGACTTGCACATCTCTGCATGGTACCCAAATCCAGCAGGGCCGTGCTGTGGCTGCATCATCTTTGTGTGTTGGATCGTCACATAAACCAAAGTAAAACTGTAAGAAAATTAAGTGTTTGTTAACTGAAATCGAGAAGAAATATTGAATGGATTAAAAAGTGAACAGAATAGGACCATACAACACCAGATCTGGTTACGAGCAAAGCTTTTATTGCTCCGGCTGGAGTCAGCAAAGCAGAGYCGCCTGAAAATCGGTAGTTCTGGGTCTTTTTATACAAGTTCTTCAGTGCCTGGTGCGCCCACTGCTGGCATACGGCTGAATCGCGGACACAGACAAAAAAACATGTATTTTTTAATGTGTTGTGATGGTGTTTCAGGCATGTATCTAAACTATTTTAATCAAGACATAACAATAGTTAAACAACGGATCATAAAAGTCAATACTTAAAAAGGAAAAGTACGAAAATTGTGTAGTGCTTTTAAAATCATATCTTCCTAATAAATTCCTTCAAAGCTGCAGGCTGTAAGGCAAACAAACAGGAGAATATCCAGGGCCTGAATACCTTTGTTATAAAGACAAAAGTAAGAACGATAAAAAATCACCTCTTGTGTTTATTTTTTTCAGCTCAAACCTGATGATTGGCTTCTTTGTCACCTGCTTTATCATCTTGATGGCCGTCATGTTCGTATCAGCCGTGTACTCCTGTTTTGTGGTGAGTAACATCTGAACAACTGGAGCTGTGATGACAGATAACAGTTAATGATCAGAATGCAGCTGGTTTCTGTTCTGCAGGAGGTAAAYGACAGAGACTTTGGTTTATTCTTTCCCGCCTCCATGAAAGGCTTTGTTTAAGAACTTTGGCATGCCAGGACTTCTTTGTTTCTTTTCCCTTCGAGGAAAGCTATTTGTTCCACCAGGTCCATGTATGTGCAAAGTTCTTCAAGGAAACCTGCCGCTCTATGTTTTATATTCTCATGATTCATTTAATGTGACACAAAAAAAACACCTGGGGGGAAAAATGAAAAGTGGTCTTTTTTTCTGTAATTGTTTCTACGGCAGTAGCTGTGGAGTGTCAACATTGCAGTGTTTCAGCTCAGTGAGCGTCGATTAATGTGAGCACGGTTAAATTATGGGAGGCCAGGTAAGACATAATCTGAGAAAGCTTGCATACACTCATATGAAAATCATTCATTCATACTAGTGAAATGTTGTGCTCTCACACATTTGTGAAAACCTTTCAGACATACTAGTGAAAACCTAAAACCTTGCACAAACACACATGAAAACCTCATGCACACATGTGAAAACCTTTCACACACACATATGAAAACCTTTCATAAACACATATGAAAGCCTCTCATACACACATGTGAAAACCTCTCGTACACATATGTGAAAACCTTTCATAAACACATATGAAAACCTCATACACATATATGAAAACCTTTCATAAACACATATGAAAACCTCTCATACACATATATGAAAACCTCTCATACACATATATGAAAACCTCTCATACACACATGTGAAAACCTCTCGTACACATGTGTGAAAACCTTTCATAAACACATATGAAAACCTTTCACACACACATATGAAAACCTTTCATACACACATATGAAAACCTTTCACACACACATGTGAAAACCTTTCACACACACATATGAAAACCTCATACACATATATGAAAATCTCTCATATATGAGGTTAAAAGGTTTTCATGTTTGTTTGAAAGGTTTACATACACAGATCAGATTATGTCTTACCTGGCCTCCCATATTAAATTGTGGTGTTTCAGTATCAAAGCAGGAGAGGAACATGCTTTCAGATGATTTCATCTAAAAGATATGGTCAGAATAATAAAAGTAAATTCAGATGGCAGTTTTTTTCCCCGCCTCCTGTTTAGCTGGTTAGGAAAACAATGTTTCTGATGTTTGTTTGTTTCAAAAATGTTTTGTTCAGGTATTACAACTTTTAATTTACTACAGATGTGCTTAATTTTCTTTTTACCACTTGAGCTTCTTGTTTTTGTTTTCTCCTCTTTATGCACTGCAAAAACTGTCCATCTAGCCAAGTTTTAAAACCTTATATCAGCCAAAAAGTCTTTTTGATCTTGTTTTCAGACTGATTTACTAAACAAGAACTGATTGTGTAAGAATAATCATCTTGTTTTCAGAATGTGTAAGATTATTTGTCTTGTTAGTTTGAAAATTTAACTCAAATTAAGTCAAAAATTTCTTTGAATGGAGTAAGAAATTTTTACTTGGTAAGATTCTTGAAATATTTGATTTGACTCAATTTTTTCTTATTTCAAGAATCTTACAAAGTAAAATTTTCTTACTCCACCGGCAGAAATTTTTGATTTAATTTGAGTCAAATTTTCAGACTAAAGCTGGCAGTACGTTCGCTCGGCAGTCGACCGGTCGACGCACCGTCACGTGGTTGCTCGGTGTTCGTTTTCGCACTGACCTTTCATAGTTCCTGAGACATCCCGAGCCGAGCGGCTGGGAAACCCCTCCCACTGCAGTATTCTTACACAATCAGTTCTTGTTTAGTAAATCAGTCTCAAAACAAGATCAAAAAGAATTTTTGGCTGATATAAGGTTTTAAAACTTGTTAAGATGGACAGTTAATATAACATATGAAAATATTGTCTTTTTTGTTGCATATGTGAGACAAGGTAAATATAACTAGTCACTATTCTTTTTGCTCTCATCCTCTCAGATCTTCCCAGTCCCACTTCAGAGTCTTTCCAAGAGAATAGTCCAGTCCAGACTCAACAGCACYTTAGTCGGTGTCTTCACCACCATCATTGTTTTTCTCTCTGCTTTCATTAATATTGTAAGTACTCAAAAACACAATCTCCAAAACCTTGCAAATGAAGTTACCGTCGCTGATAATGAGGATAAAATGATGAAAAACCAGACTGTGTAGATCTTTAAAGTGCACTCACTAACAGCTGACCTGGTTCAGTTCACCTGCAGCAGTCAGGAAGTGCGCAGCTGCATCAGGTCAGAGCTGAACATCAGCCTGAACAGGGTGAGCGCCTGCCACGCTGTGCTGCTCAACGTCAGCCTGGACTCCCAGCACAGCCCCTGTGGAGAGAACACGCTCATCTGCAGCTTTCCTGAGGTGCTTTCCTTCATTTATGAGAAATGGTGGCAGGGGATGGTTTATAACATTGATATATATCACTGGATTGGGCGTCATGTGACCTGGGCGTGGCTTCGCAGGGGGGATATTTTTGCATTGAGCTAATGCTAACGCTAACCATTGAAATCAATGAGCAGAACGTAGCACAGTGCAAACAAACGCTTTAAAAACGTATGAATGGTTCAAATACTTTGCTTTAAACTACATAAATTGTTACAACATGTTTACAAGAGATAAAAGGGTTATGTTTCACAGGT